ATACGTCTTACGGGTCCTGTATTGGTTCCATTCGTACTGATGGGCAACATGTAAGAGTAAGCGTCTGAAACTTTATCCTTTCTTATATAATACAGGGTACATTGAAATAAAATATCGATTGTCCCTCAGGGCAAAATCCAGCTGGAATATTAAACTTTTATTGTTTATCATTCTCACAAACTCATTTGCCTTGAAGATATGAAAAGGTCTGTCAGAAGCCTTAAATGTCCTCCATGTTACTACTGTCTCGTTGGGCAGCTTTTTTATGCTTGTTAGAAGCTTCGATTACTGTTTTGGTTAAAGGGCCTTGTTTCTCCGTACATCTCCAGCCGTCAGATATTTTGTGGTTACTCAACCTCCATGAAAGAAAGCCGACGTCAGCTTTATAGAGCGAATAAATATGAACTCATTTTTTATTCGAATGATGGAGATCATTTATAAAATTTCAGTATATTTTAGTGCCGGGTGCTAACCAACTATGTTCATCAATGAAGTCAGCAGAAAAATTTGTCTATTTCTTGACTTTCCAAGTATTTCTTGAAAAGTTGCAAAAGAAAACGATTATGTGGTCACTTCTCTATCACGTGACTTGACGTGACTAGCAACGCTAAGGGAAAATGTCTAAATTTATGAGCAATGATTATTGCCAAGATGGTACTGAAAATTATGAGTACCATTCGTTCTGTCGTCACACTTTTACAGAAGGCTGGAAGAACTACTGTAGTGATGGTTGCAACAGCTGATCTTCAGCCAAATGTGCGCTGTGTAAATGGGCACTGCGCAGAGGAAACACCTAGCGTTAACATGGCCTCGCAATCAGGATGTCACAACAGCTACTGTCCAAGAATACTCTGGTGGCGGGGCGGCTGACAGAGGGCCACGTGGCTTGACTCTATTGTGGAACTGGTCGTGTCCTGAAATTCACACGACAGAGATTACTGCCAGGCGGATGACTGAACCGTTGGAATGGTCTCTGAAGAAGCTACCCTGCAACATTGAGCGAACAGTGAGGTCTGAATGAACGAATAAACAAATTACCATCTACTTCCTTGCTCGACGTATAGCTAAAACCAGGAAAATGCAGCGTCACCTCATTTTCTCATTGATATTACCTCAATGATGTAATTACCGTGTTGGGTGGAGAACGAACGAACGTTTTAGTAAAAGACAAAAAAATAGGACGGCGTCAGCGTTGTTGTAATAATATGCAGCTTCGAGCCAGGCTTTACAACTAGGTTCAAGGTTACTTGAATCATCCAAGCTTCTTCTGGTTCTAATGAATGCTTGTGTTCATAAACACTTAGGCCTTACGTATGTGAATTAACCTGTATTTGTTGACGTTTAAACATAGGCCCTTCACATTTAAGGAACTCATATTTTAAAATTACCATACGGAGATTTTTCTCCACCGATTTGCCGCCTCCTGAATCGTACTGACAAAGTGTTATATTGACGTTGCTGTGAAACTCAAACTGGACCGCGAATCACAAATTACCTAAGCCACTAAACTTGCCGTTTTTGTAAGATTTTAATGGCTTGTGCATTAGTGCCTCGCTCAGAGTATTCAATATCCATTTTAAAAGGAAATCAATTATTGTAACTAAAACTTCATATAAGCGTCTCAGCATATGAGAGAGACCGCATGCCTCGAGGGATTCCAACTTTCGCACCTAATGTCCTGATGGAGGACGAAATCTTAACACGTGCTCACTTAGGTCACCAGACGGCTGGCTGTGATTGTGGTGCGAACTTCTGATTCGGCATCCAAGAATTGAATAATGACAGTAATCCTTCGAGAAATTATCAAATTCCATATTTATTGACAGAACTCAAAAACTGTCACCTGTGGTAGTGATGCAGTACAATGGAGGTAAATTTTAAAGTAGTTGTGCAGTAATCATTAGGATAAACATATGCCATAAAAATTAAATGGCTTTTCAACAGGAGTGCCATCGCTGCACTTCCTCTAATAATTTTAGTTTACTTCTCTGCAACATTGTGATTTTGGAGTTTTTGCAGTTCTTATCCGGACAGGAAGGTTTAAATCTTCTTCCCACTGGACCTAATTATTTGCAGCTGTTTCGAATCGTTTTTTTCTACTCTTCCTGGTTTGTTTCTAGCTGATGACCTCAAATTTTTGCCTTTGATTGATTGTACAACAAATTGGACCTTCTTCAACTGCGTCATGATGAGTTTTTAAATTTTTTTAATTGGTGCTGACCTACTGAGGTCTGCAGAGCAAAATCTAAATAAAATTTGGTTACTGAATAATAAGATGGAACTCAGATGCTCTGGGAAGCAATCGATACCACCAGTGAACATATCACAGTAAAAATAATAATACCGGATTCAAATTGCTCACTGTAAAGAAAGGAAAATAAATTTCTCACTTTACACCAGCAGCTCCTTGTACCGCTCCAATTATTTCAACCCGGAATCATTGATTTTTTCTGTGATATATTCATCAGCGTTATGGACAGCTTCTTAGAACATCGGAGTTGCATTTTGTCACTCATTCTCCTACGGATCGTGGCCGCATTCTTTGTTTGAATATACTTTTATTCGACCCACGTTCGAGCCTGCGTAAATGATCCCAGGCGTCTAAATACAAAGGAGAAGTAAAATGAGCTGCTGGTGCAAAGTGAGAAATCGATTTTTCTTTTTTTTCTTTCTTAACACTTTATACATTGGCCGTTTCAATCCGGAATCATTATTTTTACTGTTAAAAATTGTTCATATCATTAGATATTAATTATTAATCATTATTTTGATATATTATCATCATGTCATAATATATTGAATCGGGTGTTCAAATTGCTTGCTTAATTTTTAGTGAAGAGGAGCGGCCCACAGTAGATACAACTTTAGAAAGTGTATCACACCGGAATATCCTAGTTTTGACCTCCAAGCTACCCACACAGCCTATTAATGATACGAGTTTCTTACAATTACCTTATATTCCGTCAGGAGCATCATTTCATCAGATCTCCTGTTCGGCTTGCCTACTAACCATTGTTCTCTGTTCAATTTGTAAACGGCATGGCCGTCAAATTTTTCGTGTACTTACTTTCATGATTAATATGACAAGTGCAGCATGATTCATCCATTTTTGATAAAATGTCACTCTCGGTTTAGAAGTCACGTGGCCAATGACATTTGTCAGCATGGATTAGAAGAGCCTCGGTAGCCGACCCTTTCAGGGCTCATTATAAGTTCCACATCAAGCAATAATATTGCTACAGTACCTTGTCTTGGCACGATTCCGCATTCTAATCGTTGTTTGTTTTACCCCACCGAACGCTGATTATAGAGTAAGGACCGCATTCAAAAAATCAAGGGTATGTGTGTTCAGTTAGGTCACTTGAAGGTCGTTTCGGTTAGGTGAAATTAAAGTTGTATCGAGAAATGTTTCGCTGAACTGTTTTTCGTTTTCGGAAGTTCTGGAGAGGTGTGAGGAACGACCAACGGCGGTGTTCATTTTCTTGGTCTTTGCTGGGTCGTTTCGTCTTTAGACCATGGGAAATTCGGTTTTCCATGCAGGAGGTGATCAAAAATATCCAACCTCCGATTATGATCCGCCATTGACACGCATCTGCTTACGCAATTCATTGCTGCGCGAACCATGGATCCGTACGCCTCTCAATCCTATAGTGCAGTGCAACGAAAGTAAAGCGGAATGATGGGAAGTCCGGCAGATTTCTCTTTCGCGATAGAAACA